AAACAACAAAAGGTGTGGCAATTAAAAAATCGTGACTCACTTTTTCTTTTAGCTTAAAGCCCCCCAAAAAAATACTTAATAATAATAATAATAATAATAATACATCATAATTTTATTGATTTTTTGTTTTTACGAAACATTAAAACCTATTAGAGAGAGAGAGAGAGAGAGAGAGAGAAACAAAATGGTGGAATCCATTAATAATAATATCAATCGATTTAAAATTTTAATAACGATTATTTTTTTCCTTTTTGATTTATTTGAAATAATAATAATAATAATGAAATCAGCAACAAGTTGTCGACAAAAAGGAAAAAAAAGTTAATTGACGATGAAATAATAATAATAATAATGATAATATGTAATTTAGTAAGCGGGCGTTATTAAATGTCGACAAGCTGACTGGTTTCGATCATCATCGTGTGTAAAAAAAACGCGACAATCTGATGAGACATTTTATCGCGGAAGTAGAGGTGGTGGTGGTAGGTGGCGCGGCCGACGGCGGCGGCGGGTAATAAATTACATTTCGGGCATTTTAACGCGACAAATTTCAAAATAAAAAAATTTTTTTTTTCTTTTAAAACCGCGAGCGAGTCGTTATTATTATTATTATTATTATTTTAAATTACGAATGGAGGATGTTTTAAAAAAAGTGTTACGCTTGAATTTATTTACTTATTTCCTACACTTGTAAACCGTTCGTTTTATTTTTTAAAAATAAGTTGAAACGAATTGACTTTGTTCTACGAGTTAAATGTTAACGGTATTTCTTTCTTTTTCACTGACTGGTCGGTTTTTTTTTTTTTTTTTTTTTTACTGGTGCATGCACACACGACAACCTTTTATTTTTGTTTATCATGGGGGTTTTTTTTTTAAAAAATAATATTAATACCCACAACGGATACGGTCGATTAAGGCCAAGGCCTTATATGTAGAGTAAGTACTCACCCAAAGAGTCACGTTCAAAACGCAGAATATGTGACGAACGCACGTATAACCGCTTCTACTCATGTTTCCGAATTAATTATTATTAATTCAATGAAATGAAATAAAAACAAATCTCAATTCTTCATCCGTCTTCCATTTCTATAAAAAAAAAAAAAATTAATAATTATTAATAAACGTTACGTTGATTTGTAACCGGTTTGTGTACTTATAAGTATTTCCGGTTTAAAATTCCAGGTAAAATTTTCAAACGCTTTTTCGAACGCTTGGAATTATACAAAACCACGAGAAAAATAAATAATAATGATGATGATTATATATATATTTTTAAAATTAAATTTTCGCGGGTTAAAAAAAAAAAATTTTAGGTCACGTGTCGATGACCTCTACTACCAAAACTTTATAATATGGCGTCGTCGTCGTCGTCGTCGTCATCATCATCATCGTCATCGTCTTTGGCAATTGGTCGAGTGACGCCCCTCAAATTTATTCGTGATTCGCCTACTTAATAAAAAAAAAAAAATTTCTATCTCTCTCTCTCTCTTTCTCTTTCTCTTTCTTTCGGGCCCTTTTCCAGCCATTTTTTTTCCCGTTCGTTTCCGCAAATAAAAACCGGATATGGTGGTTGGGTTGTGGAGAAAGTTCGTGGAAAGTTTTTATGTTTAATTTTTTTTTATGATGCGAACATAGATTTTAACCCGACCTCACGTTTTTCAAACCGAGAAAATACTAAAATGGCACTAATAATAATAATAATAATAATAATAATAATAAGCCAACGGCCATAGCGTGCTGGTCACACCGGTTCCCGTACGATCACCG